GTTGGAAATCTATAAACCTTTATGGAAACAGACTACCATATTATTCTTCTGTGGAAGAGTTAGAGCACCAAACCACTAACCTCTTGGATAGAACCTGAGTGCTTAACTACTGTATGAATGGAAATATTGGCCAGACAGGCATTTTTAGGTTGCCTGCATATTAGTAGTAATCTCATTTTCTTCTTGTTGCTGTTATGTGCTGTCCAGTTGACTATGACTCATAGAGACCTCATGCACAATAGCTCTGAACCCTGCTTTATCTGAACCAATCTTAATGTCTCTGAAACACCTAACCTCTTTATCACAGTTACTGCCTCAATCCATTTCATCTGGCATCTTCCTCTCTTGCACTGTCCCTTGACCCTTCCAAGCTCCAAGCATGGTATCCTTCTCCAAAGACTATTCCCTCCTGGCTACATGTCCAAAGTATGTGAGACAGAATCTCAAAACCCTTGCCTCTAGTAAAGACCTGTTAGTTCTCTTGGCAGTCCATGTCCATGGTATGTTCAACACTCCTCTCCAGCACCACAACTCAAAGCCTGTAATCCTTGGTCATTGTCCAGCTCCCTGATGTAGCGTAAGTAGTTGCAAAGATCATGGCCTGGGTCAAGTGCACCTTAGTCTCTAGGCTGATATTCTTGATCTTAATCACTCTGGAGAGGTCCCTGACAGCCAACTTTCCTAACGTAATTCGTCTTTTGATTTCCTGACTGCTGGTTCTAAGACTGTTGATTGTGGATCCAAGTAAACTGAAATTGTTAATAATCTCAATCTCCTCCAGCTATCATGATTCTGGCAATTGGCCAAGTGGTAAGAATTTTTATTTTCTTGATGTTGAGCTTCAATCCATGTTGCAGACTACAGTCCTTGACCATCTGATCCTCATTTTCTTGGAGGGGCATAATTTTTTTCAAACTAAAAACATGTTAAACTATCTGCAGATTTTTGTTAGCCATTAAAATTCTCAGCCTCTACTGTTGCTAGAGGTGCCCACAAATAGATATTTTTTAAAGGAGATATTTTTATTAAATAGACAGGAGTAAAGAACTAGGCAATGGGTCTTCCTGTGACATCATGCTGGCTACAAATTGGAAGGGAGCCATTGAGACCATAGATCTCTTCTGGCCAAGAATTTTCTTTTATGACTTAGCAGAAGTAATCACAATAGGCCAGTAATGTCATCCTCTGAACACCGGTATGTCAAGCACAATCCCAGGCCTTTTCATTCTTTGTGATTGTGTCAGTGTTTATAATAACCTTGTGATATGGGTGTTGTCACTTCATGTTTGTATAAGAGCAGGCATTCCGCGACATCCCTGACAGCTGGACACAGTCTCTGTTTACATATTCCTACTCATGGGAACTCTGTTTTGCAAAGCAGGCTGTATCACGTAAGGATCACCCTAATTGAACACTTATTATGTAAGTGAGAATGTACTTAATGTAGGATTCACTAAATTTAAACAACACCTTTAACTTCTTAAATAACTATTGAAATGACTACCACTTACTTTTAAGAGGCCAGAATTTGTTCTCATTTTGGTTTCTCCATGTGCTTCCTCATTTATGCACATTACTCCTGCTTGATGAGTGCTATTATTTTTTCCATTTTATAGATGAGGTGATTAAGGCTTGTAGTGATTAAGTTTTGATCATTCTAGCACACCTGCACTTATTTACATTTTGGCTTTAGAACCATCCTCCCTAGTAAATTTAAGATTGAGTCCTGTTAAGCAATTATTGTGATATCAACATGTAGACACCTTGCTTTGTTAAAGTTCATTTTAGAATTTATTGGTTTTTTAAATTTATTTTATTTTTGTCTCATTCATTAATTGTTGCACATTTTCCTTCCTGCCCACTCCTACCAATCTCATTTTTGTGTAATAAAATTGAAGTAGAATTTTGTTAAGGAGATTCACTTTTTAAAAGAAGTGTGATTGGTATGACACTGTCCTTTTCTTGAATTTGGATATAAGTTTGAAGCTTGAGCCATTATTGAGGAAACAAACATTGTATAGAAAAAATTCAATTACTGAGGCTAGAGATATGATGTGAAATTCTCATATGTAAACATGAAAATCCTAGCATTTTGATAGTGTCATTGAGAAATTGAGCTAATAATAGAAACTACATTCTTACATGCTTTTATTATGATGAAAATAAACTATCACTTGCTGAAGATGCTCTTAGTTTTCTAATACTCACAGCCCAATATATCTGAGGCTATTGAAAAAAAAATCCGTTATCTAGAAGTATGAGACAAGGAAACTCCACCCAGAATGTTTAAAAGGAGGCAACATTCTGGTATGATTTTCAACCAGAGAGTTGTGATATGTTGTGACATCATACTTGGAAAAGTGGAAGGATGGTGAAGGAAAGGATAACACTCAGTAAGATTGGATTGACATAGTGACTATAGCAATGGGCTCAAGTGTGTCAGAGATTGTAAGGCTGGCACAGCATAGGACAGGGCTCAGATTTGTTGTTCATT